CCCCGCACTCGACTTCCATTCAGAATCGTAATGGCGTAATGAATGCGTATGTGGCCTATACAATGACTTGCGGTGGCCAGCCGATGTACAATACCACCACTCAAACAGGGTTTGGCAGAACACGGAGTGGTTGGTCATCTTCATTTCCTTCTCTCCTCACGATCAGTATCTATTACAGTCGCCTCGAGTCCAGCAATGTCCTCCTGGATCGCGTCCTGCCATAGCAACACGCGGAGTTAGGGGATCGTATGTTGGGAACGGGTATCGCCCAACCCTTCATCTAGTCATTAATCTAGTAATCCGGCGATGGAATGATTTCCTTCAGAGGTGACAGCCTTTTATATCAATCGTAGTGCTTACGGATGCTATAGCAAGAAGACGGGTTGAAAGAGAATCTGATTCGTTTTCCCACAGAAGTCCGCGGTTGACGCCCAGAGAAAGATCGCAATCGGGAGCTACAACGAATATGGGGACCCTGTTGTCTTTGTATTGACGATCGAGGTCGAGGACAGTTTCCATCGAACAGGAAACATATCATAGGGTTTTGACCCCAATTACAACACTTATATAGTGTAAAATGAAGAGACCCCTTTTACTCCTGGAAGTGTGAAGCCTGGAAGCTCCTCCACTGATAGTGCTCCACACTTTATGTTCTAACAACTTGTAGAGGTTATCGGTGGTTCTGTTGACGGCCATGACTAGTCAAGCACTTGCTTTGGCCCTGGCGCAATATGGAGCCAATCTAGAGGTGGCAGCATCCTACTATATTATGTGTGTATGTTTCTATGTCTATGCGTATGTATGTGTGTGTGTGTGTTTGTGTGATCGGAAAGTCATAACTTCTGTCCCCGTGGAGCTGAAGTGCTCAAACTTGGTAGCTGTACAGACGGCAGCATGGGAACACCAATGGTGGGTGGCTGGGACGGACTCCACCCACAGGGGGCGGACTTTGTGTGGAAAATCATAACAACTGCTGTTCCCTTGGACCTAGAGCGTCCAATTTCGGTAGGAATACCCAAGATAGGATGGGAACGCTTATAATGGGTGGCAGGATTGAGCTCCGCCCACAACGAGCGGTGTTTGGATGAAAATTCATAACTTCTGTCCCCGTGGGCCTAAAGCGCTCAAATTGGTAGCAGTATAGGCGGTAGAATGGGAACATTTATGGTGGGTGGCAAGACCGGGCTCCGCCCATAAGGGGCGGGGTTTGTGTGAGAACTTAAACGTGGCCCTGGAGCGTTAAAATCTGGTAGGAGTACGGGCGGCAGGATGGTAACACTTATGGTGAGTGGCAGGACCGGATTCTGCCCACAAGGGACGGGGTTTGAGTGGAAAATCATAACTCCTTCAGGGGACGGGCTTGCAGAGAAATGACAAAATGGACCTAAAGCGACCAAACTTTGTAGGAATACGGCAGGCAGGATAGGAACACTGATGATAGGTTGCAGGAGTAAACTCCGCCTCAAAGGGCTGGGCGTGAATAAATACTGTTAGTTTGGACCCAGACCGTTGAACTTGAAGGCACAAGGAGTTGGCTGGGAACTTTGATGGAAGCTAACATAGTAGACTCAGCCGCGATGTAGTCTCTGAATATTTTTTTCTCTCAATAATCGCCTTTGTGATATTACATGCGGCCCGATTGGTAAAATGCGTAAACGGAAAAGCCTCAGGGATCCGGACCATCAGCCCAGCCTAGTCGTCCCAACTCAAAGTCCACATCACTGTCCACTATATCATCCGTCACTGCCAGAAGCTTAATCGTGGAGAGCACATATGAAACTTCCTCGCGTTTTTCAACATGCTTCAACATGTAGCTCCCTTTTTCGGCTACCGTTCACGTTATTTTCAATGCGCAGTCCACTAGCGCCTTGAACTGTGAGGACAGTCGACGCCACGAATGAAACAAGCGACGCTCAGTGGGTTAAAAGGGCAACTTGTGACAAAATCATTTTCACTCCTTTTTTGGCACTCAGAAGGACATTTAGCGGAAATGGACCATAGTTCTATCCTCAGTGCTCATGCCCCTATACCATGCAAAAAAACCATTTTCGAAAAGCGCCCCACGCCCTGATCACCTTCCTTGTAAGAGGGCAAGAGCTACCTACCGATCAAAATCCTAAATCCCTCGGTATTTACGATGCAGCTACGACTGTTCAGTATGTTTCATTCGACAATACGGGATGATAGAGTAGGGTGACATAAGTCAGAGGGAATTGCAGTGATAGGGACCTACCAGCGGCACTACAATAAGCAGATGAGAATTTTGTTCATTTCTTGCTATTAGATTACGTCCGCTACCCACCAGGGTTTATGACCAGATGAAGGATCATCTTTGTTCGATATCATTTGCAACGAGACCAAACCGACCGCCAGTAATTTTGAATTCTCATCTAATGTTATCTCTTGAAAGAAATAGGTTCATTGATAACGACATCTGTTAATGGTGTTATCATCTTTCGAAACCCAAGGCTTTGTTTACCTAACAGTTGAATCACTATTTTGAGCAAAAGATCGAGGCTTCAGTCATAGGCGTAAGCACCGACATACACTAAATACCATGAGCTCTGCTCTGTTAGTCCTGTGTCAAACTTCGTGAACGGGAGAATATTTGTTTGAAGAAGGAGTGGAGAATTAGCCGATTAGTGCAACTTTACCGAAGAAGTAGGTTAGCCCGACTTCAGCCGGGCGAACCGACTGGTATGTTTATAAGTGAATGAGTTTTTGGTCACCGTAGTCAGCATGACCACGAAAAAATTTCGCCTGTCGTCGTCCTGAGCGGTCGGTATTCCTTGTGCTTTATATCGATTATTATTCATTCTACAGCAATTTGGTATTCATATAGCTATTTATCTTATAAGCGAACTTGAATTGGGGACGACTCCCTAAGGAAGTAGACTCGGAAGAGTCTACTGCCTTAGGGAGTAAGGCATGAGGGAGGCGTTTTTGGAGTCATCGTGGAGATCGTAGGAAAAGCGTCGCAATTGTGCGCGCGTAGACCCTCGAGGCATTTTGGATACAGGTCACGAATCCCAAAATGAATTGTAAGGAAAAATGTCTCGCAATTACGCGGGAGCTACTACCTTATATAATATTGGCCTTCCCGCAGACATTTTAATGAGGACGTACCCCACATCACTTGCTGGGTGGTTTCGAAAAATCCACAAGGTTACGGCGAGTGGGCTCTTTTCGATCACCTGCATGCCCTGGGGGTCTCGAACTTAGTGGGTTGGTGGAAACGTTTGTTCGAATAGTCACAGATTGTGATGATTATTTCAGGCTGTGAAGAAGGCGATTCCGGCGAAACGTCAGCCTAATAAAAGATATTTACACAACTCCTGAAGAGTTCAAGACAACAATAAACTCAATGATATAGTTATACATTGTATTCAATATGAAGCAAAAAAGATTGCTTGTGTCATGTAAGTTCAACTGAAGTTCAGAACTGGCTGCTGTTGCATCTAGTCGTAGAATCAGCGAAGCCGTGTATGACGGTACGGTTACAGAGGGGGCTGATTGCCGAGTTTAAATGAACGAAAATATGAACCGAAAGCAAGCAGCTAGTTGCCCGCAAGAGATTGCCTGACTAGCTGTTTTAAGAGTCATCAAAGAAACATTATCGTTGACGACTCGCACGCTTGCCTTGTCTGGCTTCTTCCGTAGGCAAATATTCAACGTTACACACTATTGGACAAAATGTGGAAGGAAGCTCGGTAGATTCCGCATCAATTGGGTGAGGCACAAAAGAAGAAGCATGCTGGATCTGCTCAAGCGCTGCTAGATTGCGAAAGCAGGACTCTGTGTTTGGCTAATCGCTCGAGGAAGGGCACATTGGGAAGGACTTCGATTGGAAATCTTAACGTGCACCTGCAAAAAAGCAATGTTTTGCTTTTTTGCAGGTGAACAAAAAACTTTGCACAAAAACTTAGAACTCAACATAACTTTGAACATCTCATTCAACTTGAATTGCCTCCTTCAATTTTTCTGATGGCTCCATGGGGAAGATAAGCAGAAACCATTAGAAGAGATCCACGCAGTCAAAATTGAGGTCTAATGACAACGCACGACCGCATCGCTCAGACTTGGATGGGGTCTTGTCAGCCGCCTTCCTATTTACCGGATTTGTTATCATTGAGTTTTTATTTGTTTCGATCTATTCAAGCGAAGAAGGCGCGAAGGGCTTGAGATTTTTCTTGCTCACTTTTAGAGTCAAGGACTCATGAAATAATCGAGAACGTGAAGGAGGTAATTTGAATGGGATGTTAAAGGTATTTCAAGTAATAGTTTTTAGTTCTCTTTGATCGGTTTTGTTAACAAACCTATAGGTGAAATGAAAATGGCTTATAACTTCCAAGGAAGCCATTTTCATTTCACACATAGGTTTGTCAGCAGAACCGATTGAAGAGAAGAAAAAATACGCTCAACTTAACTGAATTCGGCAAAGCACACCACGTCTTTACTATTGTCGAGTGCCCTATCTGTTCACTGCTATCTAGATTGCACTAACTTTGAATGCATATTACCCTGCATCAACGCTTGAGGATGGACTACTCATGTAAGAAATCCTTCTAGTGAGCTTGAAGACATAAATCGACCGCGACTAGAGCTTAGCTTAGCTAGCTGGCGTATTACGTAGACTAAATCGCATGGTTATTTGTAGTTCCATAGATTGTGGCCTCTTACGGTCGTCGCCCGCCTTTTGTACGATGTGGAATCATCTAGAATGATGCGAGAACGACTACAGATAGCAATGTACACTACTCTCTTGAATATTATCTTCCTAGACTCTTGGAATAGTGACCCATTTCGCGTGGCACGGTTGTGTGTGGTCTGCGTTGGTATTTTATTCTTATCTGCACTTCAAAATGAAAAGTCATGCGGTTTTCAAATATATTTATTCACACGTGAATTCATCCCCATAGTACGATTATGTTCATGGAATTGTGCCGGCCAAATTAATCAATTTTGCTTGATGACCTTCGAAGAGTTGTGGGCTGCGCGGTGGACATCGACAGTAGGCAGCGTCTACCCCTGGTATGCCTTCCTCTCCGCGCGCCCCTGATACTCCTTCGTCACCTAGTTTTCCTGCCTGCCCTGGTTCACCTGGCAGACCCTCAGGTCCCTCTCGGCCGTCTTCACCGCTTTCCCCGTCAGGTCCAGGGCTGCCAACTGGTCCAAGTGGACCGGGATGCCCAGGTGGTCCTGGAGCGCCTTTTCCACGTTTACTGGGGTGCCCAGGTTTTCCTGGTGCACCGTATGCCCCTGGCTCACCAGGTGTTCCAGGCTCGCCAGGACTTCCAGGAAGACCATGACTGCCATCGCGTCCGTTTGGGCCCGGTAATCCTGCGGCGCCATCTTTTCCTGGCTCACCGAGGTCTCCATCGGGACCAGGTGGTCCGGTAGGCCCGTTCGAGCACTGCACGCATCCAAATGCATCTTCTGACACCACTGCCATTCCTTTGATACCTGAGGACCCGTCATTACCTGGTACTCCATCCAGACCTGGGATTCCCGCTTGCCCAGGAGGTCCAGGCAGTCCTGCTGGGCACTTATTGTGCTTTGTTAAGCATGTACAGCTCTCCTGTTTGCAATGACAGTCATTTGATCGCTTTGTTCTGATTGCGTGGTCCTGCAGGTTCGTATTGGAAAAGACAGTTTTGGTAGTTATCATTTCCATCCACGCGTCATCTGCATAAACCTGTAACTTCTATTCGTTTAATGATATATCAAAATGCTAAAGATGTCAATTGGTAGTCGCCTACTTGGGAGCTCATAGTACCCTAGTTTCAAAGGGATGCTGCCATGACATACCTTAAACTCGTCGATATCACGCATAGACCTCAGGTAGAATAGGTTCATTTTGTTGTACACGTAGAAAGTAGTGGTGACAGAAGCAAGTATAACAATTATAGACGTGATGCAACCAAAAATGATGATTAGTTTCACATTCATCGGTAAAATAGGCGCCAACAGACTGGCTATCGTACGCAGCCTCCTATATATAGCGCCATTACTGGCCACCGCCGGAGATGCATCCAGTCCGAATATGGCGTTTGATGACTATGCAAAAGATGAGATCGAAATGAGATTCGACATTACAATAGATCTTACCGTTGTTCTTATGCATTCCTAAGTAGTTTCGCAATTAGGTTAATTGCTTCGATGCAATCGAATTTATTGAAGTAGTGTATTAATCTCACTACTCAACGATTGATATCGAGGATATTCCCCAACGCGGTCAGTGCAAAGCATTACGTACCTTTCACGGAAGGCGCTGTTTGATTGCGTCCTTGACAATCGACGCTATGGCTCCGTCATGAGTTTAATGAGTTTATTTCCATATTCTCAATCAGGTTGACGGGGACAAGTTGCTTGACTGCTGCTTTATAATATGGGATACTTGGCATGTTTTCGATTCATACGGAACCGTTACCGCATCGGATTCCTATAGAGCTAGCGTAATCGGCTGGTACGTTTTTGATAATTATACTATTTCTCATGAAAGAGTCAATAACTTGGAAGTTGCTTAATGTGTGGTCGGACAGTCATGAGATCACTTTCTGTACGTATGAATGAACTTGAAACAGCTTTTTTTGCCCCGCTTACCAATTGCTTTGACCGTTAGGAAAGAAAGTGAAACAATTTGTGAAGATTGATTTTTTCTGAAGCATTCCGCATTTCTATCCCCATTTAGGGTCGTTTAGTAGTTTAGTATGCGTATCAATCTACTCAATAAATTACGTCCCGGCATTGCAAAACGAACGTCTTGGCGTTACTTCTCTCCAGTCATGATAGCAGTCCACAACTACGGACCGGGTTTCCCGTGTCGCCCCAACTATCCTCTCAAATTCCGTGCCCGAGACCTTTTTTTGATGCATCGTATATTTGATATAGGTGGCGGACTCTTTCGCTCACAGAATCTCACGAAGAAGTAGATTCTGCATGTAGTATTCCACGTACTCGCTTTAAGCGCTCTTTCATCAAGAATGACATTTGAACAGATGCATATGTCGAAAGTGGATCAAAGGAGCAGTTCTACCAAACTAGTAAGGCTATTTTTCGAGTTGATCAAACAGCAAAAGGAGGAGAAAATGAGGACGGATGTGGTGTGATTCGGAAACGGTTATTATTGGTTCAACAAATCAAAAACTTTGAGAGAAGAGAGGCATGATCTTTCTTGCAATAACAACTAAATAATTGTTCTAGTGCTCGCTATTTATTTTGTACACGTAGGTCAAGGCAAAAAATGATGGCGAGCTCTTCTGTAAGAGCTCTACCTTTTTGGAGGTGAGATGCCTATCAAAGATGACACAGTGAACACAGAAAAACACTCAGTAACCCCCAAACGCGCCTGACAACGGCCCTGTCGCCCTGCGGACATTTCCCTCCAAGAGGGCAGGGTGCAGACGAAAGAGCATGCCATCCCTTTTTACATAGTCCCGTGGCAAATGAATAGCGACACTGTTTTACATATGAAATTTTATTCACTGCCATGGCCTATCATTTTGTTGCTCTTACTACTAGTCTAACTCTTTCACCAAGTATTCTTATGTTCACCACTATGATAACAAATTCGTCACGTGCTCTGTGACTATCCTGGTTCTTCTGCATGTGGTGATCTCATGAGGTAGTAAATGGACCCAGTCCACAAAGTGAAAAATTTTGTGGTGATCTCACTCCATTAGTTCACTCAACATAGTAGTATTGCTATATTGTTATGCTATCTAATCGTCACTCTGTCGGCTTGTTTTAGAATGTAGAGATATGTGTGCCAGGTTTCGTTAGGGCCCTTATACAATGAAAATGAAGTTGAAGAGGGGGGAGAGGGTGGGTATGGGAAGGCGTTTTGTTGAATTGTAAGGAATGGAGCGTGGGTCGTCGAATACGATTTCATTGGAGGTTCAATTGTTACCCCATCTCAGCTTTTGCACGAGGTGTTCATATCACCCATCCCGGAGCTCCTCCCCTTCCGAAGAACAGGTAGGAACATTATCTTTTGGCTAAAAACCACTTCTAGGCTAAGGTTGATCGGCCATCTTACTCTCCTCTGCGCTCAAGCGCTGGGTCCGGAAACTTCTCCCCTAACACGGCGTCGCACACGCCGCACCCGCCGCCTATGTCAGGATTGCGATGGAAGATTGGAACGCGCAATCTGTGAGGTAGGGAGTCCTTTAATTATTTGAATTGGCTGGCCGCTCCCTTTAATCCCAATGCGGTATTGATCGTTGTTTATATAGGAGGGATCATCCAAATTAATCAAGTCTAATAAACATGGAAACTAAAAAGAAACAGAAGAAAAAACGATAAAATCCAATGAAAAAGCAAGGCAGTCAAGGGAAGTATCGCGTCCTATCGATTGGCGGGAGGCGGGGTGAGTACGGTAATTGCAGTGACATTTGCCGCATGCCGCAAGGGAGAATGCCGCGATAGGGGAGAAGTTCCGTTACCCCTCCAGCGCTCAGTGTTGAATAATGCCTTTCCCCTCCACACGAGTACATTTTTACCGCTTACTCTGCAGAACAAAACATGTAATCTACAGCAGAAAGAAAAAAAAAATAGAAATCCACTTCTCGAGGCGTGCAATTTGTCAGCTGTTGAGTGCATTGTAGCATTTTGAGCATATTACCACAACAACTTCATCAAACTCATGTTCCTGCTTGTAAGATTGCTGGATTTGGGAGGGAGATTTGGGGGCAACGCAAAATCACCCTCTTGACTTCGTTTTCGCTTTAGGAAATTGTGTTGAAAGAAGTATTCGGAAAGCCATCGATACTCTAGAGCTTTACATCCTGTTTCTCAAATGCTTCATTTATGACCGGCGATTATGACTATGACTACTGTGTAACACGAAATGGATCAGTTCGACTCATCAACAAATATCTGGTTTCAGAAAACTGAATGTATGCTGGAGATAATCTTACACTTCACATCATCACGCCAACAAAAAAGTCTTCAACGTCAGCATATTTTTGCTAGAAATCAACCAATATACCATTTGGCATGCTAAATCAATTTTCTCCAACAAATGTGCAGATAAGAGGAAAAGCTCAAAATGCATCCAAACCTTACTAAAACGAGGATAATGGTGCATCGTCAAACAAACATATCGCAAAAATTTATGCGGATAAAAACCCGATAGCTGCAAAGCAAAACCCGTTTACCACTTTGTGTGGGCTGTGGGTGTAAGTTTGAGCGCGAGGGCACAAAAAGCTACGAAACTTTGAAGCTCTAGAAGAAAACCAATCTCATGAGACTGCACAAGTGTCGTGGCGCGCATGCTCACGACAACTAGTCCCACCTGCAGCATTACTCTTTGTAGTAACATTCGCCACAAATTTGCTCACGAAAGCAGGGTTGTAAAAGAATGTGATCTAACGATCTTATTAAAGGCCCACACATTCTAAAATTTCGAGATCCTGCCTCACGATTAGCTGATCTCAGTAACTGCTTCACTCAAGTTTGCGCCCCAATGGTAAATGTTAGAGTCGTCCAAATGGCCACGAATCCGCCGCGGATTCTGCCGGGTGCATCTCCGAGCGGACGAATGCTCCGTCCTCCATGGCTCAAATGTCACCCATTCACGACATACATATCAGCCTCTCTGATCTTGGTACAGTGAAAGATGTTTGAATCCTGACTGCCTTTTTGCACTTGCGTTTATTGAGAAGCTCAAGTTTCTCCTATGCACATCCTGTTTAGTGATGCTAATTTCGTTCAACTCTCTATGCAAGGTTCAAGCTCTGACCATGAGAACTGGAACAGAAGTGATTGGTGAAAAATTGAGAGTAATGACTGCTGAGCTAAACTTCCAGTATTCTTCTTTACCTCTTTTTGAATTATCTCGAGTATACCTGACGCCGCTCGCTTCTTTTTGTTCACTTCTGGAGGGGAGTTTTTTTGTATCAACTTCTGTAACTTTTGTACTCAGGATACGCATAGCTGAAGCATTCAGAACCGTTCGTTTCATTCCTTAATAAAGAGACATCAGGAACAAGCCTAGGTTGTGTAAGTGTCGCTTCTTCAGGATCAGTTGGAAAGTGATCTTCCTACAAAAGCTGTGAATTTTTTAAGCATTCGTTCATTTATACAATAGTCTCCGCTACATAAACGAGGTCGCTTGCGAAACGCAGGTGGTGGGTAAGTGTCGGGCGTTGGCCTTCACCGTAACCTTTTCCTCTTTAGTCGCACCTTTTTAAAAAGCGGTGCTGAGGTCTAGGCCGACCCTGTTGTATGGTTGTTTTAGTCGTATCGTAGAGTTCACAAATAGTGCCCAAAACCTTTCAAATCGATACTAGTGAGAAATATTTTCAACTTTCACATGTGCGCTTTGGCTCTCGTGATCCTGCAGAAATAACCGATCAAGCTTGTGCCGGCGCTGCTGCTTCTCATTTCTTGATATCATCCTTCCACGCGTTTCTTCATATTAGGTTGTCGCATATGTTCTTTGTAATTTCTTCAGCACCCTTTATAGTGGAAGACGAACAACGCAGCTCCTATCTCTGTGTTTTCTCCTATCATCTCTGTTCACCACTCAAGACCACCGTTCGAGCAGCTCTTCTATTCCATCCTTTGGAGGTTCGGAGCTGAGCTGAAAGAAGTTGCTGAATGCCTTTTTGGCCTCAGTCTCTCTCATCCAGATCACGTCAGCAATTTCGAGGAGGCAAGTTGTGCTATCCGAGCCAAATTTGTTGTTTGGCGTCTTACACATGTACAGTCGACATGTCATAAGTGACATTTAAGTTGATGAACATTTGCTGAGCGCTAATAACTTGTTCTTAGGGTTGGAGATCCCGGTATTTGCCCATGCTGGATCACCAGCAAAAATCTTTTAATTAATTAATTTATTTATTCATAAACTCCACTCAGTGAGCTGCAACTCATAGCAAATAAACCACCCGCCGCCACTGTACAAAGTGGTTTAGAAAGGGGAGACGGCAAAATCAGTGGTGAGTACCAATCTCCAGAAGCTGCAATGGTAGAGAGAACGACGAAGATATTCTTATAGCTGGTAACCACGCCAGTAGGCTCTGGCGCCCTCATTTCGTAATGAGTCATAGGACAAAGCCGGAACTGCGGCAATGAGTATGCTAACTTCCCTTGTGGAACTGAATTATATGCTTTTGGCCGTGTGGTAAGAAGTGTGCGGTCGAGCCGGATGTTTCGCTAAACTGGAAGCGGATTCGAGATAAGAAGACTGCGGCCTTGCCTGTACAATTCCAACGATGCTGACGAATTGCAAGTTCAAGATCACAAAAGAAGCAGTTCAACGAAATGACAAAAAAATACGAATCAAACTGGGGAAATGAAAAGAAGTAAGAGTATTTTTCAATGGCAGATTGGCTTCGCGACTGGTTCGGATTCCTTATCCCCATCCACCCACCCTGCCCACCCCCACTGAATTTTCATATACCACCCTCAGGCGTGCCATCAAGTTGAATCTTCTCGTTGTAGAGAGAAAATAGAAAGCATATGGAGGTTCTTGTCGCAAGGTGACATCTCGTGGGTCCAGCCATCGTAGACTTCTAGTCTTCTCCGTTTTATTCAGTCCTCGCTTAATGGTGGAAGTGTGGGAGGAATGTGGTCTTCAGTTGAAAGCTGCATACGGATTTGCACTCACTGCCTTTTTCAGGTTGTTCATTCAGATACAGCGACCGACCCGTTTGCTCCGAATCAGTCAGCAAGGGAAAAATCAACATTCTTGAATTAAGTGAGCCACGCCGCATTGATTTGTCTAAAATGACGCCTTCGACGTATACCAACATTCGATTGGGGTGGGTTTGGGTTCCCTCAAGTCGTAGTAGTAACGAAGAGGAGAAGCGCGACAAATGTGCTTCTAGTCGGAATGATTAATGCTGCCGTAAAAACCAATATTAGGCTTCATTTCTTGAGCATCAGCCTCCTCTCACTCATCAAATAGTTGTTCGAGGTTACTTCCATTTATTTATTAATTGCTCATTTCATTTATCTATTCTTATTTTTCTCTCAACAGAACACAATCCGACATAATCTCCACTATCATCTGATGATTCGAATCGACGTGGTTTCTCATTAATTTCCTCATCTCTACGTTCTGAGAACTCTTTAGGTAGGATTCTAGTGCCTTTCTCTGAGATGGTACAAGAATACAAGAATAAGAAAAGCTGACCTTCTAAAATGATTAATCAACACAAAGCGAATAATCACGTATCAAATGAAGCAACAGTTTTCAAAATTGCACACACGGCAAACGAGCAATACAAGGGAAATCTTCTGATGTGATTCCTCTGATGTTATACTTGAAGATGTCAATCATGGCTCCAGCTTCGCAGGCGCTTATTTCTCATTGAAAAACTCCGTGACGCCGCAACGGTGGGATTGGTGGTAGGCAGTGTTGCTGTTCAAGGACATGCGTAGGTTCAAGTTCTCTCTCTCAGCTTATAGAAACAATAAGTTATTCGTAATCTTCAGAAAGGCAGTGAAACGAATGCGCAATATGTGCAAAGCTTCCGGCAAAAAGCTCTATGTGATCTCCGTGGGAAAGGTTTGTGACTTACCAATTAGTATGTGTGGCTAGGATCTGCCTCTTTTCATGGTCTAGCTCGTAGGATTAAGTTACGAAAGTGCAACAACCCAAATCCAATTGCTTCTTACTCAAGGTGCGGAGTGTTTTCCACTCAGATATGTACCTCGAGATTTACCTCTTGAAAATGGATACAAAATTGCGTAGATATAATAGATAGGTTTATTGCCTCACAACCCGACTCTATTATTAATTTAACTGTGGGGTAGTGGCAAGTCACGCATTATCTCACGCGCAAAGGCCAGGGACACCTTGTCGATACTCGCTGAAACCAGTCAGACTTCCCCTTTCTCTGGGTCACTTGGTAGTCGAATCGTATATCGGCGGCCACCGCAATTCATTGTATAGACCACCTACGCATCTAAAACCCTGCTACAAGTCTGAATGGAAGTCGAATGCTGCCACTACAGAATTACCTAGGCTCAATCCAACTTTTCATCAGGATCAAATTCGCCAAAGATGAGATGTTGATCTTCGATTGATAACCTTTTCGCCCTCGAAAGAGCCAGATATTTTGCAGGGGATCTTTGTAGAAGGAGAGAATTGTATATACTTGTTTGCAATCACTTTTGATGTTCTGATTTACTGAATGGTACGCGTGCGTCCTGAATATTCTCTATGGTGACGTGGCTCAACTTTGCAATCATTCTCTGATTTGGTGGATTTCGACTCCAAGATGTTCTAGGGCGTGCAAACATGTGTATAAGCAATTAGAACATAATCTGGAGAAACTTTTCCTAGAGCCCAGTCTCAGATTGTTACAGTGAGTTTTTAGGTGAACGTTCCAAAACTGTCAAATTTCGCTGAAGTCGATGTTTTTGTGCTTCTGTCGTGCCCCTTCGGGATAATATTTGATTCATCTTCGTTCCTTCAACCAGTGTTGTCGATGTTCGAAGCAGAAATAGCCTTGAATCCGTCTAAAACGTGGTTTGCTGATGGCGGATGGTGTGCGGATCTCACGCAATTTGTCAACGGTTGGTTCGAAAATTTTTGAGAATATTATGGATATTCGACTGAAGGTTTTCATCTATGTAGTCTCTGAAAAGACTCAGCAGTTTGTCTTGTACACATGTATATCTCCTATTCGTTAGACATATTACATCTTTACACACTACACATTACACATTACGCACACATTACACAATGCACATTTACGTATTACATCTTCCTTTCTGATGTTGTCCAACATCGACGGCAAAATTGCTAAAGGCAATCCAAAATATCACTCTTACCATGGTAATCACATCGTTTGTACAACATTTCTGACTCAACTTCCTAGCCCTCATCAGTTCTTATCCATTATTCTCGCTTAGCGTCTACGATCTTAGCACTTCCATGTTACAGACCGAGATTACAAGGCTCCACTGTTGAAGTGGAAAGGGCATTTCCAGAGGCTACTGAGACCCTATCAGTCCTTATCGCTTCCTGTTGCACTCATTCAGTTTTTCCACAATGCCAGCTCTAACATTAATGACTGAACTCTTTGAGGATACACGCACATGTACATATACACATTTACAAACATACGTACACTTATGCACACATACACTCAATTCACAAGCAACGTATTTAACATTGCACTCAATGATATACCCTGATACACACACACACATACCCATACCGAAGTCGGGTGCTATCTACCCTGGAATAGTGAAATCGTTAATGCCATCGCAATCCATAACGTATTCATTGAAATGAAAATCATTACCGAAGGGACTTATGGTCCCGTTGGAGTGTTGACAATTCAGGTGTCCTGTATCTTAGATAAATACTACAATTTTGGGTTCTTCCGAAATCGTGGGAGTCAATCTTCTCCGTTCCATACCTCGTTTGCCGGCGAAAATAAATCGCGCTTGGGAACAAGGTCTTCCTCATCTTGAACGGATCGATAGCAAACTACGGCAACGTTAAAGGGACAGCCCACGTTAAAGTGGTTTCTGAGCGTTAGAAAAGCTGTTCTGCTTGTACGATTCGCACCGAGAGCCCACCTTGCACGTAGGCGGCTTACTGTAGTCAGCTGCGATGAAACTCGTCCAAATACCCCTTCCATGCAACACACCGTCACATCCTCGTCCAACTTCTGACTTCTTTTTGAAGCCTTCTGCTTCTCTGAAATTGCCGTTTTTCGCGTTTTCTTCGCTACTTTGCACTATCTATTCTGGGCTATTAGTTACATTATTCGTCTTGAACTGGATACCCCAATATAATTGTGAGCTGTGCTTTCAAACTCGCGCGGTGCATGCGATCTTGTAGCCAACCTATCAAAATCAACCTTCCTAACGCTTTTTTGCTAAATGGCTAGCCACGGGGATCCATGCGGAAATTCTTCTCTTACCACCGGGGTAATTCAATGCGATTAGGCCTTTGATTTCTGGATAGAGCTTTCGAATGCTGTTGCTTTGCAGATAGTGTGGGAATCATCGAAGACGAAGGAGCTGATGTAGGTCTCGTGACTGGAAGGGTTAGAAGATTAAAATTGTCTGTGGATGGAAAGACAGCCGAAGCTGGACAGGTTCTTCCATACAATCCAGGTAGCGAGGATAACTATCAGTTTGAAACTTGAACTTCACCGGTTATCTTCTGACCTTTAAACTTCAGGCGAATACTTCAAAAATAGTAGTTGGCGAGGTCTCGATGACAGCGTTCGTCTGGAAGAGTCAACAGATATACAAAACGGTCGACTAGGAATCGCGCTGGAATATGATACGGAGCTGGCTAGCAGAACTAAAAGACATGGTAGAAAGGAGGGGAACTACAAATGAATTGCATCAAATCCTTTGTTGTTGTTTGTTAACTTTATATTTCTATATGTTTCATTGCAATTCATTGTTGCACATGGTTCTATCATCGTTGCTGAATGATTTCTCTGGTGGCCATTTGATGTTATCAGTTCTACGAAAGATACGGTTGCTTCGAGCTGGCTTCAGCTCCTTGCACTCACTGCTTTAGATTCAACTACTGAGCAAATATCCTACTATACATAAGGCGCTATGTGTGTCTGGTAGTTTGTATGGGTGTATGTAAGTGTGTTTGACCGGAAATTCAAAACTCCGGTTCCAGTGGACCTAGGGAGTTCAAATTTGGTGGGAGTACAGGAGGCAAGATGGGAATACTTATGGGGGGGGGGGGGGGAGGAGGAGGAACTAGACTCCGCCCACAGGGAGCGGGGCTGGAACAACTGTAGTCTTCCACGTGTTTTACGTAGAAGAATGTAGTTTATACCTGAGCCTCAGGAGGGAAGGAATGCTGGGGTGAGGGTGAGATGAATACCCGTGCAAAAATCGTGCAAAAAGCTAAGATGGGGTATGAGTTGAATATTCTATTGACTCATCCACCCCGATGCTCCTTTCTCCTGAAACGCAGTTCAAAAACTGTATATTTTTGGCTTGGGCTTAGGCTAAGGCTAACTTTTTTTATCTCCGCTCTAGCGCTCATTATCTAAAAAAGACTACAGGCTCTTAGCTACATTATTCTCCAATTTTTGTATATGTAGACATACATAGCATGATGCCAGTACAGATCGGAATGACAGTTTTGAGGTCTCCACGTCATTCCACATTACTCACTTCACTTCGCAGTACATACTCTACACCATTAACCTACCCACCAAGCTACTGCTTTATATGTAAGATGGAATTGTAGGATAGATTTCGTAGAGAATACAGTTTTCATATCACTACCTTTATCGTAATTGAAAGGCTTACGGACGGACGGACAGACAAACACCCAAACCGACAAACCGACGACCGACATCTGAAGTTACTGTTTTATAAATAGGACCAGTCAGATCGCCCGGCTTACGCCGGACCTCATTCCTTACTTTCGCAAGGGCCACAGTAGTGATTACATTATTTATTATACATTTTTTATCATTTTTGACGCTTTCAATTACCAGCTAAGCTCACTGTCTTTTAGGAAATTTTGAGGCGTTGTGGTCCAAGCCCTACTCCCTTCCAACTGTAGTTATGAGAGAAAACAAAAGTTCATGTAAGAACAAAATTAAAAAGAGCGGAATCAAGCGTCACCAACTGGTCAAGCACTTATACTACGCGTAATAGTTTGGAAAACCCTCGAGATAATTCTTTCGTGGCGCTTGGTGCACTTTGATTAGACTTTTTTGGCATCACTTATAAAGCACTATCTTTTCTCTCGGATATTCCCTGTAGCAACCAGTGCAACCAACCGTCTTCTCCAGCTCTCCTTCAGAATTCCATTCAAACTTGAAGACTGTTTTTGGAGAGGGAGGCTTGCCGAAAACACTTTAAACTAAGGGTTTTGCAAGGCTTAGCTCGACAATGCTACCTGCCTCTTAACAGTCCCTTGAAGATTTGAGGACAAAATCTTCGTGCTAGACAAAGTGTTTGTTGGGTCTGGATCCCACAAGTCATGAGGGTTCAGAAAAGAGTTGAGCAGTTCCCTTTTTCCTGTAGACCCTAATGACATTTTAATGGAACTTCACATTGAAGACTGGGTACATCAGAGATAGGGTTGCTACCGGGACCGCGTAGGCCGCCGGTGGCCCACGGCAAAGAGCGCGGAAAGCGTGCTCAGCTCCACACGTCAGTCACGCTTATCAAGCGCGGTCGCCAGTGGATTAACCTACTCTCCAAGTTACTGCTTAACATGTAAGAAGGAAATGTTTAATAAAGCTGGGGTTTCCTTATCATTACCTTTACCGTAATCGCAAAGTTTTGCGGACGGACAGACAGAGAAACCGACGTACAGACAAACCGACACACCATGCTATTGCTTCATACAGGGTGGGCCAAAATTATGATTACACAGACATCACATCCCCTAAAATGAATGGGAAGCTAATAGAGCAGATCGATTTTAGAAAAATATTTGTAGCTAATCCTTTATCAAAATAGTACACTGAAACTGGGATCTGTTGCTTTCTGCATCCACCCAACCCCAGAGACGATGATGGGCGGTATTGACGGTGTCACGCAGCCAAAGTCATCAAGTTGATTCCGGCTTTATGCAAGGCATCTTCGAGATTATTTCACGTCTTGTTTGGGCTGACAGATGCTTTCATCTGAAGGCTGACCATCCTGAGACATCCATTGGATTTAGGTCCGGGCTCCGGAGTGGACACTGATTGAAGGTTATAAAGTCGTGTAAGTCATTTTACGAAATTTCTAGACAATTCCTGAACTGCGGTCAGAAGCTGCACGTTGACTTTGTATGTAGGGTTTAAATCGCCAGTGTCCTATTGCGCGCGGAGAGTTCGAACAGGCCTCCAAATCGACTTTTCCTCCTTAATTTACCAAAATGATCTTTGTTTTTGCCTCGGCGCTGACGCTTGCAAAGCCATTGCAGAAAGTCAGTAAGCCTAGCGCTGTATCACTTCCATTTCTTTCAGCTTTATGCGGATCTTGTCGCTCTGCTTATTGAGCACCTTTTTCACTGACTATCTTTTCGTCGGTAAACAGGAATTCGTACGACAAATTTTTCAGATGCGGCGAGGCAGCTTTTGTGAGCCAAACTTTCTCTTCTCTTTGACCTGCTCACTGAGGCAATCGCTTTCTAATGGTAAAAGACCTTGTTGGGCAGATGATGCTTCACGATTTCGCGCAGAAAACTTTGAGATATCCATTCATTTAGCCATTTTGGGATCAGAATGATTCTGCTGCTACGCAGACCTTCGCCCTGCATCCTTAACACTCCCCATAGATATGTCCGCAGGCCTGTTAGGTTTATCACTCATATCTGCAACTGTTCTCAACTCTTGAAAGCGTCTCATGGTTGAATGTACCACCTGCCTTGTTACACTAAGTCGTCTGTAGATGCACCGTGCCAAAAGTGCTTGTAAATGCAAAGCGACGATTGGTTCACGAGGTAGTGACGCTTACATTATTTTCAAAATCTACCAAGTTTAGCACCATTAGTAAGGGAGTAATGTAATCTTCCTTGTGAAATGAAAGAAAACTTACGAATCGCTGTGAACTCAAAAGAAAATTTGGTATGAGCGTCAGCGCGCGCTGTGATCATAATTTTGGCCCACCCTGTAAATAAGAGGGATATACATATATATAGTATATATAATAAGAGGGATGTATATTATATATATCCCGTACATGGGTTCTACCTTGTCGCGGTGTACGGGCTTGAGGCGAGACCGGGATCCCGCAAGGAAAAGGCTCGCCGAACCCTCTGACCGGCTCTCGTGACCAAAAAACCCGCCCGAAGTGCTCAAGCTCGTGGTGGGACGGCGCGCTCCTTGAGCAACAGGAACGTCCCAGCAAGGCTATCCTGTGAGACGAAAAACGCTACGACCACTTCTGCCACTCGCCTTAGTCCCCTGCAGACTGTCCCTGCCCAGTCCGGTAGCGCTGGATCAGCACACAGTCAAAGGCGAAGAAATCTCAGGGCCGTAGGCTACCATAGGAAAAGGACAAGAATGAGCCACCTGATCTTATGCACTTATAACTGCAGGAGCGCCAGTACGGCCATTTAGCGTTCAACCTTGATTGAAGAATCACAACGAATTTCATATCATGTGATTGGGCTGAGTGAAACGAAGCGGAAAGAGCCTTTGACGTGTACATGGAGTGATGGAACTGCGGTTTTTCTCGGCGCTCATGAGACAGGAACAACATCAGGAGGAGTTGGTTTTATAGTGGCACCCGAATTTGCAAAGAAAGTTACAAGTGTGACATTTCAAAGTCATCGATTCGGTATCCTGACCGCTACTTTGGCCAAGGACATCAGCGTTTCTATCATTCAAGTATACGCTCCCACCGGTGATGGTTCCGACGATCAACATGAGGACTTTTACGACGATCTCGGCGAGCTCGTTCGATCGCAGAAAAGCAGCTACATAGTGGTATCTGGTGACTTTAACGTACGAGTTGGTGAAAGAAGATCAGGGGAACGCTTTATCGGACCAAACTGTGCTGTACAACGGAACGCCGCTGGACAGAGGCTGGCGAACTTTTGCGAGATACATCACACGTTTCATGGTAACAGCCAGTTCGTTGAAGCGCCGACGAAAAGATGGAATTACGTGTCCCCGAATGGGCAATACTGCCACGAACTAGATCCATCCTGTGTAGCAGCCATCACAGATGTCGGAGTAATCCCATCATTCAATACTGGAAGCGATAATCGACTTCTACGCGCACGGCTGCACTTCGAGCGAAGCCATGTGCGCCTGTCGAGAATCCAATCGAGACAACCTCGAGCGACTGTTCTCGATACAAATACGCTGAAGACGTTGATAGAGAACGTACCTTCGGATATGAAAGAGGACATAAACGAGGACTACGACTACCTTTTGAACATTCTCTCTACTCTTGCTTCACAATCGCGCATTATAGCTCCTAACCACAACNGGGAGTCTCACCTTGTCTCGTGTCTATCCAAAAAAAATGAAGTCACACGAAGCAATGGAACCCTAAGCCCGAAGTCCTTGGATTTAGCCTTGCAGTTTAAGCCAGCACCAGTCGGCCATGGTGCCCTTTCGCCACTTGAGGGGTCACGGGAGTGTACCGGAACTTCGAGACACGGGTATGCCGACCGCCCACGTGGAACCGGCAGACTTGACAGAAACCGCAACGCATCCTTTCAATTTCCCAGGCTAGGGTAGTCATATCCTCGTTCCAACGTTCTGAGGGACACCATTAACTCCGTGGGGATTGTTTTATCTGAGTTTAAGGGATTACAAGAGTGAAGCTGTTAGGCTTGAACAAACTAGATACATATAACTAGACACGGAAAGCATGACTATAAACTATGACAAGTCGTCCACGCCCAGAAC